TATGACGATATCATTTGGTGAATGCGTCTTCTTCTGGGGGTGTAAAACCTTGTTGGCATTCTCAGGATAATTTATTTTTGTCTTTGAGCGATCCAAGGTTATGTTGGGAGTCACAGGTTGGATTATGCAGACCCGATTTTAGTACGAGTTTGGATTTGTAGATCCATACTCTGTGATTCTTTGGTGATTCCTTAGACACTGTTTCCTTCTTCCCTTCTTGTCTTTGTTGTAAAAGAGCACGGGCATGAACAGCGTTTGCACAACGTTTTTATATACGTTCTTTGAGGGTCGAACGAGCCCTTTTGACGAGTGTCCATTCCTTCGTCGTGAATTGTGCAGAAACGTGAGTAGTTTGTCGTTGCGTTGAACAAACCACTTGTTGTTTCCTCGACTCTAAGTTCGCGTAATAACGAACTCCGTCGGTTTGTTCAAATGCCTTAGCTATTTGGCGAGCACGGCGCTGACGCTGTCTCTGACGAGCCCTCTTCGTCAGTACCGGTGGGCTTTGATTCGATGACTCTTTAACTAGATAAGAGTCATTGTGAGCAGAGGTGTTGCGAGTAAAATCCTTAGCAACAATCCGGAGAGAGTCTTCATTTTGTGCCTTCTTTGGCATGTAGGTCTTCCTCAATTGTGAGATCCTCTTGTATTTACGAGACAATGAAGATCTTGAAGAGGATGATGAGAGAGATTCCTCAAATTTAGTTTGGTCGAATTCGTATTCGACCATGGATTCAACCGGAATCTTGATCGGCTGCGACACGACGGTCTCGGCAACGAGACCGTTGGCTCCCACTGTGGTCGCCAGTTTGTTTTCAGCGAAAGTTGTTTCCATTGCAGATTCCATTAAAACTTCGATCCTTTACAAAGAATTACAATGAAAATAAAAGAAAATACAACTCTCGAGAAAATAACACAGAAATTGTTTATCAACTCCTGCTTTTGTGGGACTTTGCCTGTGCCGGGAACGCTTTAGTTCGTGGACCACCGATTCGTAGATCGAGAGGTTGTTTAAGGATCTCTCCTTCGTTTATCGAAGTAAAGATTTGAAAACGAATATCTTATCAATGTAAGATGTTCGTTCTTCCAAAGATCAAGTCTGAGCTTAGATCTCTAGGATTCACCAAATGATGCTTGTCAGAGGGCTGCCGCGCCTTAGCCGCGGCGCCTTGGTCTGCCGCGCTTCCATGTGTTGCCTGTTGATGTGTATATTGTTCTTCTATGTTGTCTTGAGTGGTGTTTGGATGTCTATAAGCATTTTTTGACGCCTACAATTGTGCCGACCCCGGAAAATCTTGAAGTTCCTGAAACTTCAAATGCAAGAGAAATTCGCAATAGAAAAGCACCAATATGGATGGGTGACTATTTCACTGGTAAAGATCTTTCCAATGAAGATGTGCAAGCTCACTTGGTTTTGTTTGCTAGTTCTGATCCAACCAGTTTTGATGAAGCAGTAAAAGATGAAAGATGGAGGCAAGCTATGGATTCAGAAATGAGATCAATTAAGAAGAATGGGACGTGGTTTCTAACTGACTTACCAAAGGAAGCTAAAAGGATAGGAGTCAAATGGGTCTACAAAACAAAATTGAATGAACTTGGAGAAGTGGAGAAGTACAAAGCCCGCTTAGTCGCAAAGGGTTATGCTCAAGAACACGGAGTTGATTACGAAGAAGTGTATGCTCCTGTAGCTCGCATGGACACTGTGCGGATGATCTTACCTCTTGCAGCTCAGAGATGTTGGAGTGTATTTCAACTCGATGTGAAATCAGCCTTCCTTCATGGAGAATTAATTGAGGACATTTATGTTGAGCAGCCGAGGGGTTATGAGATGAAGAATGAAGAGCAAAAGGTATACAAACTCAACAAAGCTTTGTACGGACTCAAGCAGGCACCAAGAGCATGGTTCAGCCGGATGAGTCATACTTCAAGAGAGAAGGTCTCGAGAAGGATGATAGTGAACAAACTCTATTTACCAAAGTTACCAAACAAGGTAAACGTTTGATCATTAGTTTGTATGTTGATGATTTAATTTATACCAAAGATGATGAGGTTATGATGTGTGAGTTTAAGGATTCCATGATGAAGGAATTTGATATGTTAGATTTGGGTAAGATAAGGTATTTTTTGGGTATTGAAGTAGTGTAGTTTGATGGAGGGATATTCATTAATCAAAAGAAGTATGTGATGGAAGTGTTAAAGAAGTTCGGCATGGAGGATAGTAATTCTGTTCAAAATCCGATCATTCCAGGGTTCAAAATTTGCAAAGATGAAAATGGTGTAGAGGTGAATGGTTCATTCTACAAGCAGTTGGTTGGAAGCATGATGTATTTAACAGGCACAAGGCCGGATGTAATGTATGCGGTTAGCTTAATTAGCAGGTACATGTCCAAGCCAACTGAGCTACATCTTTTAGCAGCCAAGAGAATTCTACGATACTTGCGAGGAACAATTGGTTTTGGTATTCTTTACAAGAAAGAAGGAAATAAGGAGTTGGTTGGCTTCACTGATAGTGATTATGCCGGCTCTGTGGAAGATAGAAAGAGCACGTCCGGTTATGCTTTTATTCTAAGTGGAGCAGCAGTGACCTGGTCTTCTCGAAAGCAACCAATAGTTACACTAAGCACAATAGAAGCCGAGTTTGTTACGGCTGCAGCATGCACTTGTCAGGTGGTGTGGATGAAAAGGGTGTTAAAGAAGATTGGTTATAATGGTAGTGAGAGTCCTGTCATATTTTGTGACAATAGCTCAACAATCAAGTTGTCAAAGAATCATGTAATGCACGACAGGAGCAAGCACATTGATGTGCATTTCCATTTCTTACGTAATCTGGTGAATGAAGGAGTTGTGCAGCTCAAATATTGTGGTACACAGCAGCAAATAGCAGACATACTTACCAAACCGCTCAAGCTAGAGACATTTCTGGAGCTTAGAAAGAAACTGGGAGTTTGTGATCTAGTGAATGAGGGTAAACTAGCCGTCTAGGCAGTCTAGTTTATGGGAGGGAATGATAAGATTTAGTTTGTTATTCAGTTTTTAGTTGTTAGACTGTTATTCAGTTTTAGTTTGTTGTTTTGTTAGAATAAAAGTCCCAGTCTTTAGATTAGAATTTGGGTTTAGTTTGTTTCTGTTTTCACTCTGTAAAAGCTATTTATAGCTACTGTTTTCTCTTTAAAATAGTATTCCAGAATTGTTCTCTTTAGAATAGTATTTCAGACGTTGTGTGCGAACTGTCTCCTTTGACTCCGAATGAGATCAACTGATTGTTGAAAAGAACAAATGCACAGTCTTACACCTCCCGTTCAGAAGACGGCTTTCCTCACGGTACCAAATTCCGTTCTTATTTGTGGAAGGCTGGTGTTCCGATCAACTCAACCACTCTACTAGCCGGCTTTTTGGCCATATGGCTGAAGAGGTGCGTCGTTCCCCACCAACCCTCCGATGCTATACCGATTGAAGTGTTATATCCGGCCGTTCAATTAGCCACAGGTCGTAGGTTATCCTTGCTTCCTGCAATGGTATCTGATATTCACAGTGGATTACAACAATTGGCCTTCGTGTTTACTCAAGAGGGGAAGAAGGCCTCCGCTGGAATATCGGTACCGAAGCTGGAATTACCGTATACTTATTTGATGACCTGGTTGATACTTCACCATCCAGATTTGATGCAGGCTCCTGAGACGATGGATCAAAGTCTTCCGCTACTGCAGACTCTTGAAGGTTGTAAGTGGGTCAAACATCGGTGGCTAGATATATTTAGGCAATTTAAAGTCTATAAATGTTGGGAGTTCTTTCCTTGTTTCCCTCAATTCTCCGGGACTTACAACACGGCCTTATTGGATACTGAAGAACCAAGACAGAACCGCACGTCTTTGGACGTCGACTACTTCAGATGGCTGATGAACATCCGACCTGGTTATCTGGTATTCAGGGTGAAGGATGTCTATCATATCGAGCCTTACTTTCCATGCCGGTTTGCTCGTTAATTCGGCTATGATCAACTGTATGTCAGCAACCCGAATCGTCAACTTAGAGTTTAAGGTGGACTTATAGATGGGGCAAGAGCCTGGTTTTGGAGCATCATCAGTTGCACGAATGCTGAGTTTGATCTCCCTTTAGAGATGCCTCCTCTGCATATGACCTTTCTCTACTACAAGTGCCTGATAGCTGCCAATGCCATCACTCAAAAAAGGAGGATATCTAAATTAGAGGAGGAAATAGCCTCTTGGCATGCCACAGAGGTAGTCCATGACACTATGCTTTCAAATCGAGGGAAAGAAGCCGCCGAGTCGTCTAGAAAGGGGAAAGAACCTGCCCGTCCAGCTGATAACGAAGAAGAGTTTGAGACTGATGAGACCGAGACTTCTGAGGAGGAGGATGAGACTGGATCAAGTTCTGAAGGAACAAAAGAAGAGGTTGGCAAGAAAACTGAAGAAGAAACGACTGGTCTCCCCGATTCTTTCTTCGAAAGAGGATATGTAAACCCTTCTGTTGCTCGTAGGTCTCACCATGTTGATCCAACTCGACCCTAAGATGCTCCAAAAAGAAAGAGGGAGAGAGTCGTCATGACACATCCCAATCGGATGACGGTAGAGGTCCTTAGTGGAGAGGAAGAGGAAGAGGAAGAAGAAGATGCAATGCCTCTTGCTCACAGGCAAAGATCACAATCCTCAACTCAAGTTCCTCCCAGAACTGAGTTACGCACCAAGTATCGTCACGAAAGATCTGGGGCTCCAGGTGAAGCGCGTCCACTGAAAAGAAGGAAGAAGGTTGCATCACGACCACATATTTTTCTTCCTGCTTTAGAGGAAACATCTGCCCATAGTGTTCCTTCAGACGAACAAGGTAACATCCTTATTTTCATTTTATTGTTCTCATATTTCTTAATACTCAAACTTATCTTGTACTCAATTTCTGTAGGGAGTCAAGAAGAAGGAGAATTTTAGGTTGACATTGCTCCTCCCGGTGGTATGGAAATTAAGGAACCCAGCTTCGTCCAACAAATGTATGATACGCTTAACAACGAAGCTGGTGATGTTCAAACAACTTTCGCCGTTGATCCATCGGCTTCAAACAAAGGTATGGGTATCTCTTTATCTGGAGGACAATTCCGAAAGATGAATGAGTCGGAACGCGTGCCTCTTCTAATGACCTGTACACTTTATCTCCTTTTAGTTAAACTAAAAGAAGCGGGAACAAGTAACGAAGCCCTCAAATCTATCCCGATCAATGAAGGTAAGACTAATCTCCATTTTGTACAAGTTCTTATAAATATATATTATTTATGATCCAGCATATTCTGTAGATACCACAATGAATGAACCAGCTGGAGGAGAAACCACTCATGCTGCTGAGGTCGAGGATTTTAACGAGCACAATCTCAATCTTGATCTCTCAGAGGACGACCTGTTAGCCCTTATCTTTTGATGATGTTTTACAACCACCATTATCGGTACTAATGGCTTATTGAGTGCAAATGTAGTGAATTCATATATCAAGCATGTTAGTGCCACAAATAGAGGATTGGATGGAATATGCGCTACAACGATGATATCCAAAGGAGGAGGAGGCATAGTGATGAAGCAACGTTATTTCAAGAACTCCAAATTCAATTAGAAGCTTCATCCAACTCAAGCTATATCAAGACTCAAGAATTGTATTCTCGTGAGGATATTAGCTAGTTTTTATTTTCTCTCTAGTGCTAGAATGTAGGCAAATAGTTTAGATTTTATCTGAAGCTATTAGGATATCAAGACACACGTTTTCATACTTATAGTTTTGAACATATTTCACAAAATACTATTTTTCACAAGTATGAGGACCTATTTACAAAATTCCTTTTCCAAACAAATTGTTTTTAGTATTAAAAACATTTTACAAAGTCAGGTTTTTGAGTGTATCAGATTGCGGTCGACCGCCACGGTCGATCGCGCCTGAGCTCACTCGTCAGTGAGCAACAGAAACTTTCACGGTCGACCGCCACGGTCGACCGTGAGCTAAAAATTTCCCACGGTCAACCGCCACGGTCGACCGCGAAAGTCTCTGGACTTTTGGTAAGTTTCTGAACTGCCTCGCGGTCGACCGCGAAAAAGTCACGGTCGACCGCCGATTGTTTTAAACGGTAATATGGTACAGTTTTTCAGCGCCGATTTCACACGATCTCAGCGTGTTCTGTTCCCAGATTTTGGGGGATTGGGTATGGGTTTCAAACAGCTGTGTTTTCTATTTAAACCTATCTTCTTCTTCTTCCTCTGAGTCCCAGATCTTTAAAAATCTTTCAGAGAACGTTTTTACAGAGCTTCATTTTCAAACCAGTTTCTTCTGAGTTTTTGTGTTTCACATCCCAGCTTCAGTGTAATCTTCTCTTTGCCATAGGGACATTGTAAAGAGAGGGTTCTTACACCATTTGATTCCTAACCCTATCTCCTCTATTTTGATTGCATTTGGATATTGTGTTTTGTTTGTCTTAATTTTATTGCACTATTATAGCCTTATGACCCTAATCACCCCCCCCCTCCTAGGGTCCAACAATTGGTATCAGAGCTTGGTCTCTATATTAGTTTTTGGTTTAATCACCTTAGAGAAAAGATCTTATGGAGGCTTCAATGAATGTGCATATGCTAGAGGGACAATCCACCACTAGACCACCACTTTTCACCGGTAGTAATTTTGCTTATAGGAAGGCTACGATGAGAATTTACCTTCGTTGTATTGATCTTGACATCCTAGAACTCATAGACAAAAAATATGTAGAAAAGCCCAAAGTTAGGACTATGACCGATGGAGAAAGGCACCAAGCCAATCTCAATGCAAAGGCTATGAATGCCTTAATTTGCGGTCTTTCTCCTAATGAGTATAATAGGGTTTCCACGTGTGCAACCGCATACGAAATATGGGTGAAATTATGTATTACACATGAAGGAACCCCCCAAGTTAAGGAATCCAAAATTAGTGGGCTCATGCATGAATATGAGTTATTTCAAATGCTTCCAAATGAATCAATTGATGCTATGTTTTCTCGCTTCACTAACATTATCAATGAATTGCATGGTCTTGACAAGAAATTGGCTATTCAAGAGACGAACTACAAGATTCTCCGTTCATTGACTCCGATGTGGGAACCCAATGTGACGGCGATAGAAGAAGCTCATGACCTTACCACTCTACCTCTTGATGGCCTCATCGGCAAGCTCAAGGTTTATGAGAAAAAGCTCAAGGAAAAGGAGAAGGACGAAGTGCCCTCACGGGAAGTTGAGGAGCCATCACCAAAATTAAAGACCATAGCTCTCAAAGGAGCTAGTAACAACTCTTCTTCGTCATCGGATAGTGAAGTTGATTTTTCTAGAGAAGTGGCTCATCTCTCTAGAAGAATTTCTAGACTCATAAAAATAAATAAGAAATTTAACCCACGATCTAACAACAAATTTTCTTCACGTGTAGGAAAATGTTTTGAACGCAATGAATCGGGCTATATCGCTAAGGATTGCCCAAGGCTCAAGGAGAAGTACATGAAATACAAGAAGAAGAAGGCTATGTATGCCGGATGGGAGGAATCCGAACCAAGTGATTCGGATAGTAATGAAGAAGGAGCTAAACTTGCTCTTCATGATCCCAACGTTTGCTTCATGGCCCTTAAACATGAGGTAATATCCGACACCAAGAGCGAATCCTTTTACATACAATGTGATCTAGCTATGGCTTTAGAAGAATTGAACATTGAATTTAAAAGAATATCAAAGGAATTTTCTTCTTTTAAAAAGTTGCATGCTTCTTGTGATGTGAAACTAGAACAACTAGAAACCTCTCTTGCTCTAAAAGATGAATTGCTAGGAGATCTCGATTTTGAGAATAAGCAATTAAGATCCAAAATTGAAAGACTAGAAATTGAGAGTGGTAGGATTAGACTCACTCATGCTTATGCTAATCATCATCACCATGATAGAAATAAGTTTCATGGTTCTCATGCTCATACATACAAAAGAAATTTTATGTGCACGTATTGCATGAAACATGGTCATATTTCTACTCATTATAGAATAAAAAATAACTATGAATTTTATGGATTGACATGGCCGTTAGACCCTAAAGGGGGGTGATTAGGGTCTTATGCTAATCTAATCCAATTATATGCTAATTAAAATTAATTAACAAGTTATCCTAGCAAGTATGAAATACCATAAGATATATGAGCTAGGATAAGCAATGTAAACAAGGGATATATCCTAGTAATAAGATATACTATGAGTTATATACAACTAACACAAGGGTAAATAATCTAAACAAGATAGTGGATGAAATAAATGAGTAATGCACAATTGGCGATATAAGATAAATGCAAACAAATACGCCAAAGACAAACTCAAACAAGCAATATGATCACGGAGTTCGGACCTTCCGTCCTACGTCTCCGCTCCCCACTCCCGGGGAGAAATCCACTATCAACCGGGTTTTCTACGTTCACCCGAACAATGTTTACACCTCACACTCGGTTTTCTAGCTAACCGAAAACTTTACAATCAACACACTATTGTAATCCCACTCTACACCCACTAAGTGTGGGACCTAGCCGTATCTCCCTCAAGTGCTCGGTTACAACCTCTCCCTAGGCTCGTCAACCGACGCCACTCCTCTTGGGACGATCCCCGACTCTCACCACACACTCCTCACTCGGTGTACAAGTGTATTACAAAGTGAATCTCACAATAAGGCTCAATACAATAATTGATTGTTCTCAACTATGGATGAGAACGCAATGAAAGCACAACTCAAAGTTACAATCTCTCACCACCCAACTATACTATGTATGTAAATACTAAAAGCTCAATGTGGGTGTGTGTAACAATGAGTAATATAAAATCAAATCTAAACTCAATATAAAACTAGCTTTAATAGAAATGATAATTAACAAATAATTATAAGTAAAAGCTAGAGTTGAGTTTAGGAAAACTTCTCTAGATCAAGATGGAGAGATGGAGATTTGAAGCCCAAACAATAAGATAATACTCCCTCCACTTTTGTGGAAAGACCTTAAAACTGCTTTAAACCAAACCCTTAAACAATCTTAAAACAAGCTTAACCCTTTTTTTAAAAACCTTGCCTTATAAAAACTTCTTAATTCTTAGTGAAAACTGAGATCAAAGAGAAGTATTCTATATCCTCCAGAGAACGCTCAGCTAAACCAATCCCAAGTCAACAAGACCCAAAAAACCAGCCCACGCCAAACTAGCTCAGCAGAAATAGTCCAGTGGTGAGCGAGAAGTGCAACGGATCCGTGATTTTTTCGGCCCTCGACCGAAATTCTGTCATGGTACGACCGATGGAGAGCAAAAAAGCGACCGTAAGACCCAGACCTACCGGACATATCGGTCGCGCGTCGATTCCTGGGTAAAACGCTGCATTTTTCGTCGACCGATGGAGGCTCTCCAGTCTGACCCCGGACCACGTCAAACCGACAGACTCTCTGTCACCAGTGATGAAAGATCAATCATGATCGGTCGCACCGCGTAATCGGAACTTCGAGCCGATCCGGGCGTCAATACTCGATACATTAGCAAAACAGGGTTTGAAGGCCTGTATATCTGATTTTGAAAACACCTGTTTTAAAAATATCAAATAAATTCCAAAAAATGTAAAACTTTGGGGAATGATTGTAGACATGATAATAAACATGCTACAATGACTGGTTTCGAAAAAGGACTTCCCAAATAAAAAATATCATTATTTTACAAAATAGTCCAAAACACGAAAATGTAAACATGTGAATTTTGACATTTTGGCTAAACCAACTTTTGAAACTTTACAAAATGATTTTATAGACTTGAAGAAAGATGTAAACTATTGTTATGAAGTCTATAAATAATGAATATAGTATTTTATCAAAATACACATATAATACACTAAAACATGATTTTATTTAACTAACTAAAATTGATATTGATGAAATCATATATATGCATATGAGTATGAAACAAAAATATGTTTTCTAATTATATTCAATTGTTTCATAGTAAAACTTGAAAACTATCAAACCAAAACACATATGTATATATATAACTATATATGCAAAAACCAAAACGTGTATGTGTGTATATGATTGAGCTTAAATTACTAACACACATAATATAAATTCCTAAACTAAATTACCCAAGCAATGATCTTGATCTTCAATAAGCTTGACTTGGTAATCTCACGGATGAAGCTTGAACTTGGATCTTAAACTTTGAATAGCAAGGCTTCACCGACATTCCGCTAACCTCCTTTGGATATGATCGTTGAAGCTCTATTTCATCCATCCTCCAAGAACGTTGTTTGTCTACAATACATAGGAAAACACAAACACTAGACAAACAACATTAGTAGTAAATTGTTTGTAAATCATCATCAAAACAAGAAGGCCAACAATGGGTACCCAAAGGTACCAAGTTTACTAACCACCAAGGACCCAAGATTTGGGTACCTAAAGTTACTACACCTTCCTCTCTTGTAGGGGATATCACGGTAACGACGTAAAGAGATGTGGTACCTTGATAGTGGTTGCTCTCATCATATGACAGATAACAAAGAGTTATTTGCAATCCTATCAAGGATTGAAGGAGGTAGCGTCTCCTTCGGTGGTGGTGAGAAAGGTAAAATTATTGGTATTGGTTCTATTGGTAAGAAACTTTCACCCGTTATAGAATATGTTTATTTGGTTAATGGATTGAATCATAATCTTCTTAGCATTAGCCAATTGAGTGATAAATGTTTTAATATTTCCTTTAAACCAGACAAATGCATTATTAGTATGAATAAAAAAATTGTTTTTGTTGCTAATCGCAAATCTAATGTGTACATTTTTTAGATGAATGAATTAGTGAATCAAGATGTGAAGTGTCTTTCGGCAATTGATGAAAACCCTTGGATTTGGCATAAGAGGCTTGGACATGCAAACATGGAATTGATGTCAAAATTGTCTAAGAGAAATCGTGTAAAAGGGTTACCTAACTTGCACTTCATCAAAGATACCATATGTGAAGATTGTGCCAAATGTAAACAAACAAAATCTTCTTTCAAATCCATTAATGAGGTATCGACTTCTAAACCTTTGCAATTACTTCATCTTGATTTATTTGGTCCTATGCGTGTTATCTCTCTTGGAGGCAAACACTATGTATTTGTGATTATTGATGATTTTTCTTGGTTTACATGGATTATATTTCTTGCAAATAAAAATGATTGTTTTGAAGAATTTTCTAATCATGTCAAAGGAATTGAAAATGAAAAAGATTTGAAAGTTGTTAAAATAAGAAGTGATCATGGAGGTGAATTTCAAAATGATTTTTTCTATGAATTTTGTGCTCATCATGGTATAACTCACATGTTTTCCGTTCCTAGAACACCACAACAAAATGGTTTTGTTGAACGGAAAAATCGCACCATACAAGAGATAGCACGCACTATGCTAAATTCCTTTGATTTGCCAAAATATTTTTGGGCGGAAACCTTCAATACGGCTTGCCATATTTTAAACCGTGTTTTAATTAGACCAAAGCTTAAGAAAATTCCTTATGAACTATTTTATGGAAAAACTCCTTTTATTGGTTATTTTCGTATCTTTGGTTGCAAATATTTTATTTTAAATACAAAAGATCATCATGACAAATTTGATTCCAAAATTAATGTTGGTATTTTTTTAGGTTATGCACCTCGAAGTAAGGCTTATAGGGTCTTCAATAAATGAACTCTCGTTGTTGAAGAATCTATAAACGTTACTTTTGATGAGACTAATATTAGTTCTCAAGTTGTTTTACCTTGGCAAGATGATGATGATGAGGGAGGATTGGACTTTTTACAACTCAATTATACACCCTCTATAGAAGCACAAAAGCATGTGGATAGCTCCAATGCTCATGAACAAGTTGAACTTCCTAAAGCTTGGAAATTCGCATCAAACCATCCAAAGGAACAAATAATTGGGAGCCCTTCACAAGGAGTTGTTACTCGCTCAAAAGCCTTGAGTGAGTGTAGTAATATTGCTTTCTTATCTCAACTAGAGCCTAAGAAGGTTAATGATGCTTTAAATGATGAATTTTGGGTTTTTGCCATGCATGAAGAATTAAATAATTTTCAAAGAAATAATGTTTGGAAACTAGTTCCTAGACCTAACTATGCTAGTGTTATTGGTACAAAATAGGTTTTTAGAAACAAACTTGATGAACATGGCATTGTAACTAGAAATAAAGCTCGTTTGGTTGCCCAAGGATACAATCAAGAGGAGGGCATAGACTATGACGAAACCTTTGCACCGGTTGTAAGGTTGGAATCTATAAGGATGTTTTTGGCATTTGCTAGCTTTAAAAATTTCAAACTATTTCAAATGGATGTCAAAAGTGCTTTCTTAAATGGTTTTATAGAAATTTTTGGTGCTACTAATGAATCCTTGTGCAAGGAATTTTCTAAAGTTATGCAGGATCACTTTGAGATGAGTATGATGGGAGAGCTTACTTTCTTTCTCGGGCTCCAAGTCAAGTAAACTAAGGATGGGATATTCATTTTTCAAAGCAAGTATGCTAAGGAATTGGTGAAGAAATTCAATTTGGAGAATTCTAAGCATGCGCCTACTCCCATGAGTACAAGTATAAAGCTTGATGCGGATGAAAATAATGAGGACGTGGACCAAAAACTATACTGAGGTATGATAGGTAGTCTTCTTTATCTCACTGCTAGTAGACCCGATATCATATTTAGTGTGTGTGCATGTGCACGTTTTCAAGCTTCTCCTAAAGCAACTCATTTAATTGCGGTTAAAATGATCATTAAGTATGTTAATGGAACTTTTAATCTTGGTTTATTTTATCCAAAGAGCACCTCTTTTGATTTATATGGTTTTTGTGATGCCGACTTTGCCGGATGTAAGGTAGATCGCAAGAGTACGAGTGGAACATGCCAATTCTTAGGAAATTCACTTGTTTCTTGGGCTTCCAAGAAACAAAATTGTGTTGTATTGTCCACTACAGAAGCGGAATACATTGCCACCGGCTTATGTTGTGCCCAAGTTTTGTGGATGAAACAAAGCTTGGTTGACTATGATTTGAATTTTCAAAATATAAAAATCTTTTGTGATAACACGAGTGCTATAAATATTTCCAAAAATTCGGTTTTGCACTCTAGAACCAAGCATATTGATGTGCACCATCATTTCTTACGCGATCATGTAGAGAGACAAGATGTATCCCTAGTGTTTGTTGACACAACGTCTCAATTAGCGGATATATTTACTAAGCCTCTTGGTGAGGATGATTTTTGTCGCATAAGAAATGACTTGGGCTTATGCAATTTCGCATAAGAAATGACTTGGGCTTATGCAATATGTGAAAGTTCTATTTGCTTGCTTGTTTAGTCTATTTTGCATGCATTTCTCTAAGTTCTATTTGCTTGCTTGTTTAGTCTATTTTGCATGCATTTCTCTTTCCCCATTTTTGATGGTGACAAAGGAGGGGAGAAATCTCCTCATTTGTTGCACATACATAGGGGGAGCTCATAGATAAGGGGAGCACCTATCTATAAGCTATATTTATTTTTGTTCTTATATAATGGTTGGTTGTCATCATCAAAAAGGGAGAGATTATTAGTCCTTATGTTTTGATGATGTTTTACAGCCACCATTATCGATACTAATGGCTTATTGAGTGTAAATGTAGTGAATTCATATATCAAGCATGCTAGTGCCACAAATGGAGGATTGGATGGAATATGTGCTACAACGATGATATCCAAAGGAGGAGGAGGCATAGTGATGAAGCAACGTTATTTCAAGAACACCAAATTCAATTAGAAGCTTCATCCAACTCAATCTATATCAAGACTCAAGAATTGTATTTTCGTGAGGATATTAGCTAGTTTTTATTTTCTCTCTAGTGCTAGAATGTAGGCAAATAGTTTAGATTTCATCTGAAGCTATTGGGATATCAACACACACGTTTTCATACTTATAGTTTTGAACGTATTTCACAAAATACTATTTTTCATAAGTATGAGGACCTATAACTTATAGTTTTGAACGTATTTCACAAAATACTATTTTTCATAAGTATGAGGACCTATTTGCAAAATTCATTTTCCAAACAAATTGTTTTTAGTATTAAAAATATTTTACAAAGTTTTACAATTTTCAGAGGTCAAATGAATATTTTACAAATATTTTAATTGAGTCAAAAATCAGGTTTTGAGTGTATTAGATTGCGGTCGACCGCCACGATCGACCGTGCCTGAGCTCACTCGTCAGTGGGCAACAGAAACTTTCACGGTCGACCGTGAGCTAAAAATTTCCCACGGTCGACCGCTACGGTCGACCGCGAAAGTCTCTGGACTTTTGGTAAGTTTCTGAACTGCCTCGCGGTCGACCGCGAAAAAGTCACGGTCGACCGCCGATTCTTTTAAACGGTAATATGGTACAGTTTTTCAGCGCCGATTTCACACAATCTCAGCGCTTTTCTGTTTCCAGATTTTGGGAAATTGGGTATGGGTTTCAAACAGCTGTGTTTTCTATTTAAACCTATCTTCTTCTTCTTCCTCTGTGTCCCAGATCTTTTAAAATCTTTCAGAGAACGTTTTTACAGAGCTTCATTTTCAAACCAGTTTCTTCTGAGTTTTTGTGTTTCGCATCCCAGCTTTAGTGTTATCTTCTCTTTGCCATAGAGACATTGTAAAGAGAGGATTCTTACACCATTTCTACTATTTTGAGAGCTTGATCTTGTGTAGATCAATTGTGTGGGAGTGTGATCTAGTGAGATCAACTGTGTAGTGTGAGATCGTGAGGGGATCGCTGTGTAGAAGAAGTTCCGGCTTCCAAACCGGGTTGTGTAGTGGATTTCTCCTCGAGAGTGGGGAGCGGGGACGTAGGTCAGCGGACCGAACTTCGTTAACACATCGCGCGTCACAGGATAACGATTCCTAACTCTATCTCCTCTATTTTGATTGCATTTGGATATTGTGTTTTGTTTGTCTTAATTTTATTGCACTATTACAGCTTTGTGACCCTAATCACCCCCCCTCTAGGGTCCAACACGACCATCAGTATATCTCCGATTTATTATCGGGGAAAACTCCTGGTGTAGCTACAGGACCAACTGTTGGAGTTGGTTCAGCTGAAGCGGGTTCCTCTGAAGGTAAAGGCTTTTATCCTATAATCTTCATTATTTCTTTATCGTTTAACTTTGAATAATCATATAAATGTTCGAATTATAGAACCAGCTGCTGAAACCGATACTGTTATAATTGTTGGAACATCTGATCAACCCGAGGGTCGTGACTTCTTGTCGTGGGCAGGAACCAAAGTCGACCTTCAATCATCAATTCCTGAATCTCAACCTCTCACTCCTTGGGACCCGATAATGATAGAAGCTACTTCCACTCCCCAAGTTAGTCCCGTAATAACAAAAGCGAGACCAACCGAAGAAGTTGGTACTGTAGACGTCAAAAAATGCTTACAGACATCTAAATACCACTCAAGGCAAAGAGAAGATGATAAACGCCATTCTCTTAATCAGAAGGAGATCATTCAAAGGAAGCGAGACAACATGGAAGAACAATGTACACACCAACAGGCAGTACACGGCGGCGCGGCTGAGGTGCGGCAGGACATGGTGCCGCGGCTAAGGCGCGACAGTCCATGGTGCCGCGGCTAATGGTACCGCGGCTATTATAGGGGAGTGTTGCGGCAGTTACAAGGTAGTTATACGATGATTATTTGAAGCCCACGTGGCGGCATATCAGAGATAGAACATGTGTTGACGTGGACAAGTAGTTAAACCATGAAAAAGGTAGTTAAAGGTCGTGGGAAAACGGTTTCAAACACGATAAAACGTGCTGGTAACCGCCTCTTTGGCCGTGGCAGCCGCGCCAATAGCCACGGCAGTGTCGACTGCAGCGGCCAAAGAACAGTTACTTGGTCAGTTGTTTCGCCTCCATTTCGACCGTGTGCATTCTTACCCCTATAAATACCTCCCTAAACACGAAATAAAGGAGGGGGAGAGCAGATTGGGGCAGAGAGACTGGAGATTTTGGTGAATTAGAGCAAGAGAGAGAGTCTTCCTTCTTCACAAACATCCTCAAGAAGCTTTTGGCGATTCCTAGAGATCTAAGCTCTGACTTGATCTTTGGAAGAGTGAACATCTTACATCGATAAGATATTCGCTTAAAGATTCTTACTTCGATAACGAAGGAAGAATTCCCAAAACCTTCACGATTCAATCAGAATCTGTGAATCGGTGGTCCACGGGCTAAAGCACCCCCGGCACAGGCAAAGATCCCACGCAAGCAGCGATCCAAACAACGATCCTGCGTTTGTTTCTAAAAAGTTGTAATTTTCATTTTGTTGTGTAAAAGAAGTCTTATAAAAAGACTATCTCTTTTGAATTTGTTGTAATAAGATATAATGAATTCCACAACGAGACCAACTTTTGACGCAAACAAACTGTCGACCACAGTGGGAGCCAACGGTCTCGCTGCCGAGACCGTCGTGTCGCAGCCGATCAAGATTCCAGTTGAATCCACGGTCGAATACGAGTTTGACCAAACCAAGTTTGAGGAATATCTCTCATCATCCTCTTCAAGATCTTCATTATCTCACAAGTACAAGAGGATCTCATCATTGAAGAAAGCTTATACGCCAAAGAAGGCTAAAAGTGAAGACTCTTGCCCAATCGTTGTTGAGGCCTTGTCTCGCAACATTATCCCGGCGACCCCCAAATCCGAAAGCTCTGCTCATAATGATTCTATCCTAATTAAGGAGTCGTTCGATCGAAGTTCGCCAACTCTGACGAAGAGGGCTCGTCAGAGGCGACGCCAACGCCGCGCTCGTCAATTAGCTAAGGCCTTGGAACAAACCGACGGGGTTCGTTATCACGCGGACCTAGAGTCGAGGAGGCATCGAGTGGTTCAGTTGTCTCAACAACCAATCACTCATATCTCTGCCAAACTTACGTCGGAGGAATGGACTCTTGTCAAAAGGGTCCGTTCGACCCTCAAAGAACGCATACAAAAGCGTATGGCAAACACCGCTCGTGCTCATGCTCTTTTACAACAAAAACGAGAAGGAAAGAAGAAAACAGTGTCTAAGGAAGCACCAAAGAATCACAAAGTATGGATCCCCAAATCCAAACTCGTACGAAAATTGGGTCTGCAGAACACAACCTTTGATCGCGGCAGTCTTCACTGCCGTGGCATCTCCTTCAACTGCGCCAGTCTTTGTTGCCGTGGCACACTGTTCGATCGCGACACCAATCACTGCCACGGCCAAAAGAAGTTTCACAAGAGCACTCCTTCGACTCCATCAACGACCGTTCCGGGTCCGTCTACTGTGTCGACACCCGCTGTGTCACCAGTGAAACCTTGGGTCAGTCCTGACCTGTCGAAATCCAAAATTATAATGGCGGATGGCCTCGATCTTTTACCTGAAGATAGAGGCAAAGCTTCGGTCAAAGAATGCTTGGGTCCGGTGAATGAACCCCAAATAGATTCTTACACTGGGGGTCGTAAGTATCCTCCTATCAAGTCAAAACAACTCCAAGATGGGAAAACCCTAATTTCTACCCGTTTGGGAGTTCATAATGAAACTCAGGAGCCCTTTAAGACTCTGCACTCGTAAGGGGGTGGTTCTAAACATGCGACTCCTGATGTGATCTTGGATCGCTCAAATGCGACAACAAGTTGTCCTGAGAACGCCAACAAGGCTTTACATCCTCAGAAGAAGACATGTTCGTCAAAAGACATTGTTATACCTGGGGGCTCATACCAACAGACGATAGGATTCTCCGGTAATTATACCGATGAGTTGTACTATCAAGTTGGGGGAGTGAACAAAACTCGAAAGAGGAATATCCGAGAAATAAGCTCTCCTTGTTTCTGTATGCGACTCATTAGAGCAGTACTGTCAAAATGTGACTACTCCAAACGAGAAGCCATCCTGCAAAGAGTCTCAGTGTTCCAGAGGCTTTTCACCAAAATGTCGAAGCCTAAGCCGAGACATTTTCGCAAGAGAAGCTTGCTGTTCAAGAGGATGAATTCCCTGAAGTCACCATCAACATGGTTGATAAAAGAAAGTCTAAGCGGCATTCAAGTGACTCAAATCCTGACTTTTCCCCGAGAGGAAAAGTCAATCCAAGAATTGCTCAAAGGATGTCTCGACTCCAATTAGGAGCCATCAGACGCAGGGATTACAAGAGAGTGCAAGAAGGAATGTCATCGGAGGATGAATTCTCGGACACTTATTCTGCAATCGCTTCTGATGATACAATGTCTAGCACAGGACAAATCAGAGAAGTATTCACAATCACTGCTGATCAGTTCACTCAAATACTTCAGGAAGCTCTAGCCAAACAACGTGAAGAAATTAGAGCTGAAATGAGGACAGAGATGGAGTTAGCTATCCAACAAATGAGGGAATTACTAACTCAACGGTCTTAACCTCCTGAGTCCAGTCAGCGAGCTGAATCTAGTCGCCACACTCAGAATGTTGTAGATGATAGTGATCCAGAAGTGTATGAAGTCATTATGGCTGATACACCTCCCAATAGCAATAACGCTGGGGGTGGTTTAACGCACCCTCCCAATAACGATATTGGGGGTGGTTCAATGGCACCTCTTACAGGGGGTGGCCTAACTCATTCTCCTCAACGTCCTTCGAATGAAGACATAGACGATGACGAGAGAATGAAAGAGCTTGAAAACAAAGTCAATGCTTTGATGACGGCTCAAGATGTGAAAAAGACGGGTATTCCATGTCCCTATCCAAGAGAATGTGATTCAATACCGTACCTGGCAAAATTCAATCTGATTAACTTCACACCGTTTGACGGGAAAAGCTCGCCTACTCAGCACTTGATTTATTTCAAGTCTCATTTGGGCATAATTTCTGGAAACGAGGTTTTAATGGTCCGGTCATTCGTTGGCACCCTTCGTGGGCCCGCCTTCGATTGGTACCGACGTCTCAAGCCAGGAAGCATTAATTGTTGGGATGACATGGAAAGTTTATTCCTCAACAATTTCTTCGATGATGACACCTAAGTGTCGATCGGAACCCTTCTAGATGAGAAGCAAAAAGACGGAGAGTCAGTTGATAATTTTGTCAAGAGCTTCCGTAACAAAGCAATGAATTGCAGAGATCCTGTTACAGAGGAGTTCATCCTGCAAACATGCCATAATAATCTCTCCATCGATGTCTTGGAAGCTCTGGGGGTCGTACCATCCAAAACTTGGAAAGAGTTAAAACTACGTGGCGAACAAGCTGAACACTTTCTTAAAAGAAAGAAAGCTGAGAGAAGCCGACCGACGACATCTGCAATCGCTGGGAATGCAACTCTCGATCCGAAGTTTCAAAAGGAGTATTCTTTCAAAAATGATGAAGCTCCAGCCATATTGAAATACCTCCTAGCCAATGATAAAATTGAGCTACCACCTATTAAAGATCAGGAGGGAGCTAAGAGAATTACGGATCCAAACTACTGTGCGTACCACAGAAGGGTTCTTCATCCCACCGAGATTTGCTTTGGACTCAAAAACAAAATCCAAGCCTTAATTGACTCCGGCGTCATAACGGCGAAACAAGCCAAGTAAAGACAACTCTAACTCCACTGGGTGCACGAGTATAAACCGTTTCCCCTCACTCCGAAGAGTATACGAGTATAAACTGCTTCTCAACACTTCGAAGAGTATACGAGTATAAACTGCTTCTCAACACTCCGAAGAGTATACGAGTATAAACTGCTTCTCAACACTCCGAAGAGTATACGAGTATAAACTGCTTCTCAACACTCCAAAGTGTATACGAGTATAAACTGCTCCTCGATACTCCAATAGGTATATGAGTCTAAACTGTTTCCCACTCTTGACGGAAAGTTCCTAGAGAATTTTTACATGTAATATTCTTAAGGATAACCCGGTCATGTAACTCAGTATGATGTTAGACCCAGTTTCGCTAAAGAAGCTGGGGGTGGATGGTTCATGTAACGGGAAGTTCTCGGAAGAATGCTATATGTAATTTTCTTAGGGATAACCCGATCATTACAAACAGAGTGATAAACACTATATCCCCATGGTGATTTCCGAATACTCTTTTGCTGAGATGAGATTCGATCATTTCTTTAGATCAATCTTCCCTCACAAAACTCATATTTGGTCAAACCTTTAAACAGTTAGGACCAAAACCAAAATCCCCTCTCGATTCCTTCACTGAACGAGAGGTCCACAAATTGAACGATCAAACCTTTAAACAGTTAGGATCGTCTCAAGTCCCCATTTGGTCAAACCTTTAAACAGTTAGGACCAAAGAGAAAATCCCCTCTCGATTCCTTCCATGAACGAGAGGTCCACAAATTGAACGATCAAACCTTTAAACAGTTAGGATCGTCTCAAATTCCCA